CTTACGTTTCTAGCTGCAGTGGTGATGTCAACAAATGGAATGACCATTTATGGTAGGAAACTCCTAGTGAGAAACGAGGAGCAGACGAATTGGAAGAGGGAGGGCAGGAGGAGGAGGCAGATGTTCGTCTCCTATGTTCCCGTCTTTCTGGGAGGTGATGGTGATACCTGTGATAATAATGTCAGGGAAAAAAAACTGATGTTTTTAGCTTCCTTAGTGGACAAAGGTGGATGTCAATAGGGCAGTAGGAGGTGCATGTCTACCTCTTTTTGTTTGCCTCTCTTTGTACCCAACCGTTGCTGACTATGGCAATATAAATTACCTCAGCCAAATCATCGCTGCCGGTACCTCCTCCTCGTTGTGCTCCTCCTTCTCCACCTCTTGCTCCTCGTCCCTCTTGTTCTCTTTGTCCTCCTCCCCTGGAGGTACCTCCTCCTCCTCCTCCTGCTCCTCCTCCTGCTTGTCCTCCTGTTCGTCCTGCCCCTCCTTGCTTTGTCCTCCTCTTCCTCTCTCAGGCCTCCCTGTCTTCCATGTGTCATTGGATAGGTAGGTGCTGAGGCCCATATCGATGTAATCAACACAAGCCCACGGCCATGATGAACTAGCGTCCAAATGGTATGTACTACCTGCAACTGTTGCCTGCAAAGGTTGCCATGAGGGTAGTCTCAGGAAACCACCGACTTGAAGGTTTGTGAACTAACTTGTTCTGTTTCTTTCTGTGAGAGTTTAGTTGTGCAACCTACTGCAGGCAAGGATTTAGTCATCATTGTGTAATTTTTGTTTGATCAACTTTGACGACTGTTTTCCGGATCAACCATCTAAATGAAATCGTCTTATCTGGTGGCAGGTACATACAGTTCGACTATCATACAAGAAGGAGCTGGTTTGCCTCGCTGTGGAGGCACCACTGATTGCAGTTGGCTCGCAGAGACACATAACACTTGTGGACATGAGGTGTAGTCATGAAGCAAGCCATATAAACTCCAAGGATGAAAACAATGGTAAGCAGGGGAAATGAAAAAACAAACAAACAATGGCAAGCGTGTGTGAACTTGGTCAGCATCCGAAGAAGTGCATGCATCTATGCACATGCACTAAATTGCAGTTTCCAGTCGGGCTGATGCTCTGTTTTGAGCTTTGCGGGACTTGATCCCGTGACCTGTAACTCGTGTGTTTTGTTTGTGAGTGCTGCACCCTATGGGACTTGATTCCTGAGTCTGTCACTAGTAGTCTCTGTTTGGTAGTCTTAGGCCATTTGGCCTTTTGCCTTGTCATAGGTCTAGGTCCCCTTTTCCCCCTGTTTCCATCTAGACACAGATGAGTCTTGGGTTGTTGCCGTTGGAGTCCGTCGTAGGTCTAGGCAGAGGGTAGTGAAATGGTATTCACCTGTTAGCAGTAGCGAATGCAGATCCCAGGGCTCGATCCCTACAGTCTTCCCCCGAATACAACGTATGGTCATTATAGCCGAATTTAGACCGAAAGATACACCAAATTCAGCTATAATGACCGTACGTTGTATTCGGGGGAAAACTGTAGTCTTTACCTTACCTGTGTACAGTACCTGTGTCGACCCCGAGAGTTGAACCCGTGACCTGTGTATTCGCAACAGTTGGTAGGCTGTTGTAGGTCCGTAGGTTGTAGGGGTTCGATCTGTAGACCTGTCAGGTAGAGGTCTTAGCGAGTTCTAGAAGTTGTAGCTGTAGCCCTTCTGAAAGGTCAAGTTCGTAGCTGCTACAGTCCTGAAAGGTCAAGGTCGTAGCTGCTACAATGTCGAAGGGCCAAGTCCACAGGCTTCCGGAAGGTCCGGAAGTGGCCCTTCCAACGTTGCTCACAGTAGACTAGAGGCAAGTGGGCAAGTGGTGAAGTCCACCCTTGCTGAGTCAGCGGTACCCAGTCCCAATCTCACTGAGTCCGGTCAGCAAGTACCGTGAGGGACTGTGTTACATACTCGTGAAAGTATCAACGAGTATGGGGCAGAACCAAAGATCAACCAATATAGGATGAGCATGTATGCAACGGAAGTCTGAGAAACGGACCGACTCACATAGACTGACTCACATAGATATCACTCCACACACATACAATTGTGAGATGGTGGGGTCTGAGCCATACATAGACGATGCTCAGCCCCGTACACACATACACAGATGACAGGTGGGAGGAGAGACGAAGGAGGTGGGGGAGGTAGACAGCACCGAAGGTCACTGAGATAGAATCCGATAGGTCACCGATATGGTAGTCCAAAATGTCATCAAACAAGATCAAAATGTCGAGGACAATAAGTCACCAATGTCGGAGATACAGTCCTAATGTAACCGGTGTCCAATCTGTGATGCAGCCAAGTATCATCCCCAACAATCTCCAAGTCTCGGATCCGGTAAGTACCACAGCCTCATACCACCAAAGTCCAACACTGATCTCTGTCCAACTAGTACAAGTCTCCAATCTGAAGAAGAAGAAGAAGAAGAAGTCTGAAGAAAGAAGAAGAAAAAGTCTGAAGAAGAAGAAGAAGAAGTCTGAAGAAGAAGAAGAAGAAGAAGAAGAAGAAGAAGAAGGAGGAAGAGGAGCTGAGGAGGAGAGAGAGAGAGGGGACTGGCGACGGGAGGGAGGAGAGAAACCCCCGGCTCCCGATACCTCAGGCGGCTATGGCCGCCGATCTGCTCAGTCGCCGCTGCTGCTGCTCCGCTCACTACGGCTGCCGCGATGCCGCTGCTCCTCATGCTCCTGCGCTAAAATTAGCGCTAGCGCTCTGGCGCTATACCATAACGCACCGCTAGAGTGCCGGTGGTTCGATGCCGAAGTGAGGCTGGACCGGTACTTTTGTACCGGTGGGGCAGAGGCCGGCCTCTATGCTGCGAGGCCTGGCCGTGCCCTGAACCGTCAAGATTGACGGTTCAGCCCCAACCGGCGGGCGGCAGCCTCAAGAGCGCCGCCAGGCCCAAACGGTAATGTCGTTTGGGCCTGCCCGTCGGGTTTGGTCCAAAATGAGGCCTTTACGGCTTGTAGTACCCCAAGGTCGAGCCTTTAGGCCCTACTGTGTCCCTCTGGCCCTAAGTCGGGTCCCGTAGGGCCCGTGTGGCGTCGAAGATGTAACACACTCCCCCTCTTAAAAGACCGAGCTACCTGCGAGGGCAAAGTTGTCTGTCCGATACCGGGATGGGTCGGGTGGGACGAGCTGCTTCCTTGGCAAGGCGTCGCTTCTCATAGTCGGCGAAGATAAGGGGTGCAGAAGTCTGCAAGTCTGCACTAGAGATCCACCGAGTGTCGTCAGGCGCACATTGCTTGAATGTGACTTTGAACTGCATTRGCTTGTTGCCATACTTGCGGTGCGTGATGACTCGGTCAACTTCCTGATGTCCGTCCATAGAAGGCGGATCCTGTGATCGACGGCCGGGGAACTCGTCGGCGGAAGGTGGCGTGTAGATGGCCAGCTTCGACGCGTGGAAGACCCGGTGCACTGTAAGGTGCGGAGGGATGTTGACCACAAAGGAAGGACCTGCGGGGTCGTCTCCAATGACAGAAGTGACTTCCCATGGTCCGAACCATTTCTGAAGGAGTTTGCGCGAAACGTCCTGCTCGAGCACAAATTCCTCGGAGAGGACCCAAACAAGGTCTCCCTCGCGGAAAGGACATGGAAATCAACGTCGGTTAGCTTGCTGCTGCATGCGGATTTGAGCCATTTCCGAACGGAAGCAAGAGAGCAAGGGACGTCTATGTCAGCGGCCTGTGGCAAAAGGAGATCAGCGAAGATCCGTGCTTTCTCTCCACCATAATGTAACTCGAATGGTGTGACGCAGATCTTCGGGTGCACCGAAGTGTTATAGGCGAACTCGATGTCGGGAAGCCGGTCAACCCAATCTTTCTGGTGGGGACGGATGAGCGTACGCAACATCATCTGAGCGGTCTGGTGCGCTCTCTCCGTGTGGCCATCCGTCTGCGGGTGGCGAGCCGAGCTCGGCTTCATTGTCGTACTGGAAGTCCGAAAGGCCGACATGAAGCGAGTATCTCGGTCGCTCACTATGTCTTCCGGAACACCCTAGTTGGTAATCCAACTGGTGTGCAAGAGTCGTGCGAGCTCAGGTGCTGCAGCATGATACTTGCAAGGAAGGAAGCGAGCATACTTGCTCAAACGGTCAACGACCGTGAGAATGCCGTCATGGTCGTGGCGATCGCGGGGGAACGGGCCTGTTACGTCCATAGCAATGGAGAGGCGCGGTGCCCGAGGAATCGGCAATGGTTTCAGTTCGCCGAAGGGGACTCGAGATCGACCCTTGTTGCGGTGGCAAACTGCGCATGACTCAATAAACCTCGTGACGTCATGAAGGACGTCGGGCCAGTGAAAACGCTGGCGGAGGTGTGCTAATGTGCTGTTCACGCCAAGGTGTGCCGAAAGTTGTGCGTTGTGGAATTCGCCGAGACGACGAGTCTGTAAGATGCGATCTTGGGGCGCAACTAACAAGTCCTTTCCTCTCGTGCGAAGGAGAAGGAACCCGTCGGAAATCCGATAATGGCTAGTCGGCGGGTGATCCGATGAAAGCTCCGCGTAAAGCGTAGAGTAAGTCGGATCGTACTTGTAGCCTTTGACGAAATTCGGCTATAGATCGTCATCGAGGTCGAATGCCGTGGTCACAATGGCACAAAAATCGGGCCGTCGTGAGAGGGCGTCCGCGGCTCGATTGGCGGGACCGGGAATGTGGCACGGGTCAAAATCGAACTGGTCGATGTAATACATCCATCGACCGATCGTGCTAGTGACCGTATCCTGCGTTTTGTAAAAGGTCAACGGATTGTTGTCCGTATTCCATTTAAAACGCCGACGGCCGAGAAGAAAGTGGCGCCACCGTTTGAGAACAGTGACGAACGCGAGTAACTCTTTCTTCCTAGCATCGTCGAGAGTGTTGACGAGAGGCACCTTTTGGGAGAAATACTCGACCGGATGCCAACCGTCCCCGTGACATTGTTCCAACACCGCACCAATACCGTATCCCGAAGCGTCCGTAGTCACTTGGGTCGGAAGGGTGGGGTCATATATACGGAGGGCAGGTGCGGCTTGCATCGCTGCCTTCAACGTAGTGAACGCGCCACGGGTTGCGTCGTCGAACTCGAAGGGCACCTTCGGGGACTGAAGTCTCGACAAAGGCGCTGCCACTTTCGAGTATGACTCGACGAATCGCTGATAATATCCAGCCAATCCCATGAAAGAGCGTACGTCCGTCGTACAACGGGGTTCCGGCCAATCCACGATGGCTTGGATCTTGTCCGCTAAGGGACGAATGCCTTTCGGCGTAACGTAGTGGCCCAAATACTCAAGCTCTTGCTTGGCGAACTCGCACTTGTCGCGGTTCGCTTTGTACTTGGCCAGTCGCAAGCGATTCAAAACAGCGCGAAGGTGTGTGATGTGCTCGTCCAACRTCCTGCTATAGACCAAGATGTCATYAAGGTAGATGAGGACGYTGCGGTCGAGCAAGTCGCGAAACTCCGTCGTCACAGCTGCTTGAAAAGTTGCGGGGGCATTGGTGAGGCCAAAAGGCATGACAACCCACTCAAAATGCCCGTACCGCGTCTTGAACGAGGTCTTGTACCGATCTTGAGGCTGGATTTCAATCTG